CCCCCGCCACGGCCCCCCCCTGCTCCGCCTGCCCCCGCCCCGCTCCCTCCTTCCCCTGCGCCGCCTGCCCCAAGTCCTATGGCACCCTCTCCAAGCTGACCATCCACCAGCGCGCCCACACCGGCGAGCGTCCCTTCTCCTGCCCGGATTGCCCCAAATCCTTTGCCGACCCCTCTGTCTACCGCAAACACTGTCGCGGTCACGCCGGGCTGCGTCCCCACCGCTGCGGCGCCTGCCCCAAAGCCGCACCCTCTCCAAGCTGACCATCCACCAGCGCGCCCACACCGGCGAGCGTCCCTTCTCCTGCCCGGATTGCCCCAAATCCTTTGCCGACCCCTCTGTCTACCGCAAACACTGTCGCGGTCACGCCGGGCTGCGTCCCCACCGCTGCGGCGCCTGCCCCAAAGCCTACGCCGAGCGCAAGGACCTCCGCAACCACCAGCGCAGCCACACGGGCGAGCGGCCCTTCCTCTGCGCCGAGTGCGGCAAGAGCTTCGGCCGTTCCTCCTCCCTCGCCTGCCACCAGCGCATCCACGCCCCCCGCAAGCCCTACGCCTGCGGGACCTGCGGCAAGGCCTTCACCCAGCTCTCCTCCTTCCAGAGCCACCAGCGCGTCCACACCGGGGAACGTCCCTACCTCTGCCCCCAGTGCGGGCGGATGTTCTCCGACCCCTCCAGCTACCGCCCGCACCAACGCGCCCACCAAGGCGTGAAGCCCTACGGCTGCGGCGAATGCGGCAAAGCTTTCCGGCAGCCGGCGGATCTGGCGGTGCACCGGCGGACCCACACGGGCGAGCGGCCGTGGCGGGGGGGGGGGGGGGGCAAAGCCTTCGTGGCCTCCTGGGACCTCAAGCGGCACCGGCTGACCCACACGGGCGAGCGGCCCTGGCGGTGCGGGGAGTGTGGGAAGGGTTTCGGCGAGAGGGCGGCGCTGGGCAAGCACCGGCGGACGCACTCCGGCGAGAGGCCCTACGCCTGCGGGCGCTGCGGGAAGGGCTTCGGGGGGGCCTCGGGGCTGCGCAAGCACGAGAGGACGCATGGGAAGCGGGAGGCGGGAGGCGGGGACAACATGGCCGCCAGCGGGGGGGCAGGCGGGGCCGCTGGGCGGCCGGGGCTGGCCTCAACATGGCCGCCGGCGCTGCCCTCAGTATGGCCGCCGGACCTGGCCTCAGTATTGCTGGAGGTGGTCAGGGCATGGCCACCAGACTTGGCCATGACGTGGCTGCTGGAGCTGGACACAATATGGCCGCCAGAGCTGGCCATGGCATGGCCACCGGCGCTGGGCACGAGGTGGGTGGCCAACCTGGCCACATTATGGCCACCGGCGTTGGCCATGGCATGGCTGCCGGCGCTGGGCATGACTTGGGTGGTCAACCTGGCCACGGTATGGCCACCGGCGTTGGCCATGGCGTGGCTGCTGGCATTGGGCATGACTTGGGTGGCCAACCTGGCCACGGTATGGCC